TCATCTCTTTCTCATGAAGTGACTAAAGGTGTAATTTAAAGTGCTTCTGTCTAACATAAGCGTGCGAACCTAGACCGAAGCACTTAACTTGGTGAGTCTGATGCTCATTCGTCCGAGTTATATCGAGGGTACAAACTGATTGTAGTTGGGAAAGGTCGCGTCACAGACGTAGGTATCCCATAGTGACTAGAGGTGGTGCAATGATTAATGATCAGTGATGCTCCTCATCCAATTATTATCTCTCCATCTTGTCTTCTTTGATCCTCTTCCCCCCCCCCCATGCCATTAGCTGCACTTGACCGATACGGTATTTTACGCAGACATTGAAGTCTTGACCTAACGCAACACGTAATATGCTCAACTAATCTGGTTGTTAAACAACATGTCTTGCCTAAGCCATGCCGGGATGATCCTCAAATCGCTCAGTACATGGGTCTTGCCAAATATATGAGTGGTAATCATAAAATGTCGCAACACAACTGAATAAAATCGGGGCGTATTCAACATTGGGCAACTTTTAACCACAGTGATGTTGACCCGAGCTGGGATGCTAGCGACAGTGTCAATCTTTACCTCACTGCCTTCGCCCACCCAACCAAACCTCCCTACCCATAACCACCCGACCAAACCTCCCTACCCATAACCACCCGACCAAACCTCCCTACCCATAACCACCCGACCAAACCTCCCTACCCATAACCACCCGACCAAACCTCCCTACCCATAACCACCCGACCAAACCTCCCTACCCATAACCACCCGACCAAACCTCCCTACCCATAACCACCCGACCAAACCTCCCTACCCATAACCACCCGACCAAACCTCCCTACCCATAACCACCCGACCAAACCTCCCTACCCATAACCACCCGACCAAACCTCCCTACCCATAACCACCCGACCAAACCTCCCTACCCATAACCACCCGACCAAACCTCCCTACCCTTAACCACCCGACCAAACCTCCCTACCCTTAACCACCCGACCAAACCTCCCTACCCTTAACCACCCGACCAAACCTCCCTACCCTTAACCACCCGACCAAACCTCCCTACCCTTAACCACCCGACCAAACCTCCCTACCCTTAACCACCCGACCAAACCTCCCTACCCTTAACCACCCGACCAAACCTCCCTACCCATAACCACCCGACCAAACCTCCCTACCCTTAACCACCCGACCAAACCACCCTACCCTTAACTACCCGACCAAACCTCCCTACCCTTAACCACCCGACCAAACCTCCCTACCCTTAACCACCCGACCAAACCTCCCTACCCTTAACCACCCGACCAAACCTCCCTACCCTTAACCACCCGACCAAACCTCCCTACCATCAAACAGAATTCAGCTGCTGGACAACACGGAGAAGTAATACTTACATTTCAGCTATCAGACAGGGAGGAGAAACAATGATAACCTCACAGCTACCAAATGAGAAAAAAATGGGGCTCATGTTGTCAAAGATCATATAGTGAAATTTTGAGGAGTTTTATGGGTTAAACTTCAGGAGAGAAACCATGAATTTTTTTTTTAGGTCGGGGGGGGCGGAAGTAAAGAGAAGTGCACATAGAAATAAAAAATAAGTCAAACCTGGAGTGCCAGACCTCTTCTCCAGTCTTCAGAAGAGCGTGAGGTTATATGACTGCACGTGACTGCCTCAAGGAGGGGGAAGATGACAGTCTCCCATGTTGTGAAAGGTCCAGGCGCACGGTGTGAGCTGCCTCGCACGGTGTGAGCTGCCTCGCACGGTGTGAGCTGCCTCGCACGGTGTGAGCTGCCTCGCACGGTGTGAGCTGCCTCGCACGGTGTGTGAGAGGCAGTGCAGTTCATTTCAGCCAAATAGCATTGGAAATAATAATTTAATAATTGTCAATCCAGTTTCTAAGTATTAATCTGCTGTGGAGCAATAATGGTATAAGCTCATTATTATATTGAGATCAACCTCGCGAAAAAAGTCACTTGCTATTCTTTACTCTGTTCTTTATTGCCGTATTTCTTTAGTTTCTACATTTATTTATAAATTAATCAGCAGAAATAAAATATTCAAACATAACTTTTAAGATTGTGTTGCTATTTTGTAATAAAACGGTATACGAGTAATTAGTGTTAGTAAATTTTGTTAACAGCTCTGAGACTCGTAAACAACACCAAGATACACCCAGTATTCACCTATTTGTACTCGCCTATTTGTGCTTGCGGGGGTTGAGCTTTGGCTCATTGGTCCCGCCTCTCAACTGTCAATCAACTGGTGTACAGATTCCTGAGCCTACTGGGCTCTTATCATTGTATGGTCGGCCAGTATGGTCATTGTATGGTCGCGTGTCGTCATTCCGACTAATGAACCTGAAATTCGAAATAATGTTAACAAAACAGAACCAGCTATCGAGTAAATTTTGTTAATACTTTTATATTTTTCAATTGTATACTTTTTTGTCGTTCGATTAAAGAAGGAAAGTAGGAAAAAATTATTTAACAAAAACAGATTTGTTTAGTATACAGAAAGCTTCAACAACATCAGATTCCTTGGAAAAATAAAAGTTAAAGAGATACTTCTGTCCACTTTGAATAACCGGTATAGAAATTGCCTCACTTCTTACAGGACCCACGTTCGATTCCCGATTGTCCAAGTGTTTTTTTTTCCTTACTCAAGTTGGCTACCATTCCTTCACTTCATCCTCATATTCCAGCACCTTGTCCTCAATCAAATCCCTTTCCAGGAGCTATATGGTAATACCCGGATTTAATGTTATTTTCTTATGATTGTTTTGATGGTAATCATGTCTGGAGTCGAGAATAGCCTTGAATTATGTTATGCTGTGTAGATTTGGAGTGCGCATGCTACAGAATGGATATATATCTTAAGGACAGCATGCAGAGAATGATAACATTAATCTCCAGCATTAAAAAATAAATTGATCGCATTTAAAATATACTTCTGAAAATCACAGACTGCGGTGATGATGTTTTAAGCGAACAAGATATGATCATTACCACACGGGGGTTTATATCCCACTTTGATATGGGTTTTGAGCAAATTAAAATCAGAACTTGCAACAACTGATTCATATTGAACAAATTTAGATTTAGAAAGGCAATAAGAAAGAATAGGTCTCGAAATTGAGTTGTGGATGGATGGAATAATATGCCAAGTAGCTTCATCGAAGCGAACACTTTGGAAAGTTTTAAGAACAGGTTTGACAGATGCGCGAGTGACAATGATTGGATGAAGGGGAGTACCTGCCTCTCAGGGGCCAGTAGGCGTACTATAGTGTTGGTGTGTACATGGTGGTGATGGTTCAGTTGATCGGGTGTATATTGTTATGGTGGTTCAGTGGTAGGGAAAGTGGCACAAAAATTCTGGTGTATATCGTGGTGGAAGGGCTGGATCTGTAGTCCATGTGTTAATAGTGGTGGTAATATCGTTCCAATATATCAGGTGTAGGGTGTTTATGGTTCATTAGCTCACATGTATATGGTAGTGTCATGATGGTGGTTGTGCATACTTGTGGTAGCACTAGTGAAGGTAATTATAGGTGCAGCGGTGGTGGGATAACTGAAGCGATGGTACTTAACAGTATCTGTAGTCAGCAACCTTGACTTGGTGAAGGAGTTAGGAACGTAGTAATGGAATCGGGCCGCTCCAGTCCACCTTTGCTGTGTCACGGTCTCTAAAACTAGGCATCAACAATATCACTGAATGATTCCACAACCTGAGACCGAGTTATAAATAATATCTCTGACACGGTAACATTCACCCTCAAATGTCAGGCGAGCAATAAATGGTCTGGCTGTAGACGGCCAGACCTGAAGCCTATTTGTCTCTGGCGGCTCAACCAAGCGTAAACAAATATGTGGAAGTTTTGGGACTGGTAAACCGTAGGCCATTATAGGACCTGCTTCTGATCCTGTCCATTCCATGTACGGTGGTGGACGAATGTCGACGAGAAACATTCGCAGTTGTAGAGTCTGACAGGTTATCTTGAGATGATTTCGGGGTTTTCAGTGTCCCTGCGGCCCGGTCCTCGACCAGGCCTCCACCCCCAGGAAGCAGCCCGTGACAGCTGACTAACACCCAGGTACCTATTTTACTGCTAGGTAACAGGGGCATAGGGTGAAAGAAACTCTGCCCATTGTTTCTCGCCGGCGCCTGGGATCGAACCCAGGACCACAGGATCAAAAGTCCAGCGTGCTGTCCGCTCGGCCGACCGGCTCCCGACAGGTCGCTACAACTGCACAAGAAACACAAATAAAAGAAGACAGAGCTTTTGATTCGCGACTATTTATGTACTTGAAGTTCTTTCTGAATATCAATATTCAGGATATTGATATTTTGAATATCAATATCCATGTGTACAATCAATATTGTACACGTGGCTCGGAAAAGAATACAAACTAGACAAAGCTATCGCGTTTAGGTGAGCGTGGCAAGATGCCACGAAACAAAATAATATTGTCATCAGACTGTTACAGAATATAGCTATTGAATCAAAACAGTCATCGAAAAAGGCAGGAGCCAAGAGCTATCCATCATAAAAACAAAGGTCCGGTGGGTTCGTGCACATACATGACCAGCGAGGGAGTCAACCTCTCTGTATCATTACTTAATAAGAGCCGGTGTCACTCCCTTTTAGCGGACTACAGCTCAACACTCGTTATTGACTGGTTTTCCATAAGTCACTGGTCATTTACTTCTGCGGTCATGCAGTTTTCTAATGGAAATGTGTACTGGGAGAGACAATGTATATTTATCTGCTTATTTATCGATGACCAGTCACTTTGGCTGCAAATTATATTCTCATGTATTAGACCGGCACGTGGTTCCCAAAGCCAACAGTTGCTACATAGGATATATGAAGAATTTCGGTGTTCTGCTGACAGCTTTTTTTCCTGTACTTAAGCGTATCGAAACACATACATTTCATTAAATAACCGAATTTTTATATGAAGTGTTCAATTTCAGCCATTTTCTGGAACTTGATTGGTTAAGGGTGCAAAATAACAGGTGGCACCTGAATTGCGCGGAGAGTGGTGGAGAGAGTGCGCAGAGTACTGACATTCTTGTCCGGACCTTACACCGGCTCTGCTCCCCGCCACACCTCGCCTCGCCTCATCTACTGCCACAATTGTCCTCTTATCGTGGGTCGGTCTGTCAGGTGTGACCCCCACGACCACCTCAGACCCGGTGGAGCGACCTGACCAGAGGCGGTGTGGACAGGTGACTCGCTTAATCTATTACTGTCCTTGTATGTATATTTATATACTGTATATATCCCAAATGGTTTCCTTAGTAATTCTGGAAGAAGATAGTTGAAAATCTTTTGATTAGTGGAAATAAAACCCTTTCCCTCGTTATAGCTGAACGTGAGGTGAAGCATCAGTACACCTGATTTGTTACTCCGTCCTCCTGCGTGTAATGAGCACGATAATTCGCGCTTTTATCAGTGTCCTGTGGTAAACAACAGACGAGTGAACTAACCTCTGCAATTCAAAATATCAGTGCAGTGATAAGAGTAAATTGATCAATAATGATTCAAACGGCACTTGACGCACGGGTCGCCGGCCGTGGCTAGCAAGAGGGAAGGAACCTACCGAGTGCGTGTAGAGTTGAGGAGACACTTGTAGTGTGGTCAACGAGGCGCTGGTGGCCAGCATGCGGGAGATCATCCACGTCCAAGCTGGCCAGTGTGGCAACCAGGTCGGCACTAAGGTCAGCATCCTCACTGCTTCTTGTACGTTATACGTGTAAATATACACGGTGGTCAATAGTACTATTTTACAGTAGAACTATTTAATACACATGTACACTGTTGTATTTTAATTTAAAACTATTTAATACACACGTACACTGTTGTATTTTAATTATATACTAATTTAATTGTTTAAATTCATGTATTTTTTTTAAATTTTGTTGCTGTTTTTACGTATCTGGGTGTGTTTAGAAGCTTAAATAGTTCCCAAGCTACTTGGGTTAATGTGCTGGTTACCAACAGTATTTAAGCATTTGTTGACAATTAAATTAAGAAATTCGAATATATGCATTCTTAAATATCAATAAATTCTTATATCATATTATGTGGAACCAGGAGGGGTTAGAACCAGGAGGGATTAGAACCAGGAGGGATTAGAACCAGGAGGGATTAGAACCAGGAGGGATTAGAACCAGGAGGGATTAGAACCAGGAGGGATTAGAACCAGGAGGGATTAGAACCAGGAGGGGTTAAAACCGAAGGGTTATTATTATTAACACTAATATATCATCCACCGGAATTGTTCCTAACAAAAATTACATCAAAACTGATAGACTTATATTTATTAACACACACATTACTGAACATTTCAATTCACATGTTTATGCGACATCGATCTAACCAAAGACATGAAAACAGAAAACTTATTTATAAAATGGATTTGTTGCAAACTCGGGCATAGTTTATGGCGGGGTTTTCCAGGCCTTTTCCATTCCCTCTAATGCGTATATATTTGGTTTCCGCCAAGGCTAAGGGTCCCCTTCTTCCAGCATGAGGAGGTACTCCCATTATATTATATATAATATATATATATAATATATATATATAATATATATATGATATATATATAATATATATAATATATATAATATATATATATATATATATATATATATATATATATATAAATGGTAGTAGTTTTTCTTGTAAACATGACATTGATCTTGCCTTTTTTATAATTTTCAATGTTTCTAGTACGAATCTTCTCTATATTCAAAATATACAAATACATTAAAAAATACTAAAAAAACACCAAAACACTTAAAATAATCGAACACACTCATTTCAATGAAAATAATTAAAACAGTAAAAAATCCTATTTAACTCAAATACACGTAAAAGCACTAAAAATACACTCAAAAACCTTGAAAACAAACTAAAAAACATATGCAGGCACTCAAAAACACAAGAATACACACAAAATAAACTGAAAAACATAAAAACACTCAAAATACATGGAAAAACTAGAAAACAATCGAACACACTAATAGCTGAGTTTTGTGTTCTGTTCGTTTTTGTAATTTGTGTAATTGTTAATCTCTGATCTGCGTTTGTAATACTGTTAAATATAAGTTCTTTGTTTTTCTGGTTAAAATGCATTTTAGTAGAAGTAAAGATTTTAATTAAACAAGATGTTTGTCAGGTCAATCGTCGTCCTGTTTAGAATAACAGTTTAGAGTTTACAATTAGAGATGATAACTCAAGACATTAAATTTTTCAAAGAATAATGCAAAATTTAGTCAGAAAAAATATCTTAAGATGCCCAATTAAAACTAACACTCGCCAATGATTTTAAAATATAAAAAAGCTATTTAAACTCAATGAAATGAGTTACTTTCTTTGATACCCGTATGGAACAGCTTATTGAAAAGGGGTGCTTGAGAATAATACAGTTAGTGTTTAGAATAGATAGGCCACTTGCATCTCTGTAGACCCGAGCCTCACTTTGTTCCACCTCAAGCATTTCCCTACGAAACACACTTGTTTGGATCCAGTAGTTTGTTATTGTTAGACTTTCTAATCAATTGCCTACGACACCTAATTATCTGCCTCTTTACCTGTCACTTTCCTCTCAGCACCTATTACTAGCCCCCATTACCTGACCTCCGTCACCCACTATCTGCCCCCCCCCCCTCCCCTCCCCTCATTCATCACCTGCTCTCGTCATCAATCACCTCATAATGAGAACCCCCATCATCAGACAGCTATTGACCATAGAGAATAAAGGTGTCAACTATAGTGCGTCATTGTCATGAGGACAACAGGAGCAAACGATCAATAAATTATAGCTGCGAGCTCTTGTTTCCTACTAGCATATTCCCCACACTCGCTCACTGTTCTCGCTGAGTGGCTTAGCGAGACACGACCAAAGATCACATTCACTCCAAAATATCTACAACTTAAGGGCATAAATTGCCCGTGCTTCCTCTTAGGTGGCTTAATCTTCATCAATCAATCGGTTTAGCGAGACAGTCTTATCTGGTAGACGGGAAGTTAATCTGCGGAAAGTATAATTCTATGTCTAATCTCCCATTGGCCCATGGGACGGTTTCTATTTATACACAACCACTCTGCTCGCGTACTTATTCAAACTATGCTTCAAACTTTCCGGTTAGTTTTCTTCTGATATTACTTCCTGTTCTGTTCCACAGATCTGCAACTTTATTAACAAATTAATTTGTCATTTTCTTTTCAAAGTCTGTTTTTATTTATTTGAAACACATTGTTTCATATTTTAACTAGGGTTTATATTTTTAGAACTCTGTTTATATCCCTTCCTTGTTAAACTGTTAATCAGTGTCAACCATTTGTTAACTTCAGTCGTGTCTACACATATTAGATACAATAAATTGTTTAGATAGACACTGTAAAATATTAATACGAAAACAATAAATAATTAGTAGAATGCTAGATAAGTTATGGATGCAAGATATTTTTAGCTGTAAGAATATTTTATTATTACATTTTATGTAGTAACTTCCCACATTGGGAGGTGGATGAAGGTTATGTCCTCATAGTCTCAGGATTTCAGCTCTATATATCAGTTCTCAATACACGAGAAGACCAACTAGGCCTCGCTATTCCTTAATGAGACGACCAGGGTAGTGAAGAAGGACGTCTCCTCCTTCATTGTGCTAAGATGATGAGTCTTGAGCACATCTAAGCATTAGAACAGTGAAGTCATCAAGTTGGCTCGTCCAAAATAAAACTAGTTACGCTTGGTTGTTACTGTGATAGGTCCGGAGTTAAGAACATAGATCTTTATATAGACTACGGTGCAATAGCTTAATTAAACCTCTTAATATACCATTTATTTATAAACTGACAAATTATAAGACGAAGGAGTAACCTATAGCGTTCCTGAACACACAAAGTCATTACCATCGCATTCTTCATGGGCAGTGTGTACCATTTGCGTGAAGCAGCCAGCGTAACATTATTATATCATTACTAACCACAAATTGAAAGGGGTAAATGCATTAACCCTTCCATTAACTCCAAGCTATAAATCAAATGCTGCCATACACAGGTTTGTTACAACTCAGTATTTGATGAGTACAGGGGACAACAGACAGGATGAATCTTCCACACAGTATAATAATAAAACAATTATCATAAATTAACCTTACTTACAATTAATATGTGGGTTTGTGCATACTTTAGCTGGGGTAAAGTAAGATGTTTTGGTTACGATGATCTAGGGAGTGTTTACAGTACATTACTTCGAACATGACCAAATGGAGTTTGAACCCGACGGCCCTTTGTTTTATGATGGGCTGGAATGTATACATTTTCAGCCACATAAATTTGTCTTTCGCAAACCAGAAGCATAGGGAACAAGCACAATCATACGATGATTTCAGTATTAGATTAATTTACTACAAAGCCTTACACTAAGTGGTGACCGGTCCCCTTGCTAGTGCTCAAATGTCAGTGGGGATGAGTGTGTGTGTGTGTGTGTGCCAGTGGTGGTCGCTCCCCCTTGTGGCACTCAGAAGTTAGTGGCGGCGGATGTGTGTAAGTGGTAGTAGGTCACCCTTTCCACACCTCCCCCCCCCCCTCCCTCAAAACATCTGGATAGTTATCTAGAATCTAGATATTTGTGATGGTCTGAAAGCATATTACGGTTCCAGTAATAGTCTACATTTAAACTGAGAAATTAACCTTTATTCTAAACAGAGATTAGTCTCAAGTTATAGCTTTATTGTATTATAAATCGTTGATTAAAATATAAAAAAGTTCATGCTGAAAACTTTTTCTTTGAAAAATTTGATTTTCTATAAACGGAATTCTCGGGTATACTGAAATAGTTTTCGAATTCCATATTTCACTTTATCGTCAATAACTCACCATATTACCATAACTAAGCATAATGAAACAAACTTAATCAAACCTTAATGTAATGAAGTAACCTTAATATAACCTAAACTTAACCTGATAGAGTAGATAATAGCACTAATTATGTAGTCGATCTAAATCCATTCCCGTGAGCGTATTTCCTCCCTGCGGACAGGCTGGTGGCGGCACTCAAGAGTCAGTGGCGGCGGGCGGGTGTGTGCGAGTGGTGGCCGGTACCCCTGGCGACCAACTCCCGCACCACGGTCACTGTCCTGAGCAGTGTTCATATTTTATGTAGCCCTTATTGCCTCAGCTCGGCCAGTAATTAGGCGGAGGTGGCAACGATAAGGTATGCGGCAGTGGGGGATTTACCTGGAGTGTAGTGCGACAGTCACGACTCGTGTCTAATTAATACACGCATGACAAATGATAAACCCGTATTAGTATGACATTATACACAAGTACATATAAGGTTTCACCGATACTTTAATACTCGCTTAAATTATACATGAGCCTTTTACACACACACGCGCAGTAAATTCATTTATCATTTTATTCACACGAATATATACACGCACAGAAGCAAGCAGTTCATACACACTAGTGATAATCAATTACTGTACTGTGATTAATGCAGAAATTATCAATTTGTCTGACGACTGAGTCACTGGGAAGGTAAACACTTGAAAATCAAATAATAAAGTGAAACAGTGGACAAAGTACACTAGGCGTTCCCGACGTGGAGTCGCAACATAAGGAATGTCGCAGGAACAACAGTGGAAGCTCTCCAGAACTGGACGAGTTTCTAAAGTTACTGGATCAGCCTGGCTGCGATGGCCTT